GTCGAAGTACCTCCCATGAATCTACCTAGGGGGTAAAACATGTCTCAGCGCACATCTTTAGGAGGTGGTTAACCCCCCGCTGGGAGATGGGAGACCCTTTGGTGAACATCATTTCCTCGGGGACGTATGTTCACAAACCACTCGTCAGTGAGTCTCCGAAAAAAATACGAAGCATCCCCCAACCAAAAGGAAGCTCCCTTGAAAAATGGCCCAACAAATGATATATCTAAAACTATCCAAGGGGGGAACACTGGAATCCGGCGTTTTCCAAGCGTTTGGCCGACTGTCTCCAGGACTGCCGCAGCAAACCCTGCAAAACTGGTGGGAGTTTTACTCCATATTGGACGAGAAACCATAGCTCCTGTTTGACTGCAAGCCACAAAAGGAACAGCAGCAGAATCGCCGATGTGTCAAAAACTAGACTTCTTCCGGCCAAACTGACCACCAGAGCAGTCCCTCTATCGTAGAAACGAAACCGATCGTTCCAAAAAAAAGCGGGGGGCGTTATTCCCCGAAAAATTTGGACACGCCCGAAGGTCCAACGTCGTGATCTGAACCAAAGAACCTGACCGAGCTGCAGGGACACCTCGAAGTCATGACCCCGTCGATGGAGTCATAGACCCAACTGGTGACAGGTTTTAGGTTTCAAGGGTCAGGGAGACTCCACTCACTTGCTCAGTTTGGACCCGGAAATAGAAAACAAAGGTGACATCACTTTGTGGGGCCTTTACTTGTGGGAACCCAAAAAGTTGGAACACCAAACGCAACCCGCTGCCTCCAAGTGCTTTGCATTGAAGGTGCCTTGGCTGTTGGTCTTGACGAGGTACCTCGCTGACTCAATTCAATGCCATCCTGGGGAGTGCGACTTGTTGGTATGCCGGACGCTTGTGTTTTCCCCCCGACAACAGCAGCATCATCCACAGGGTTCCCCAGTTTCTTTCTTTGCACGTGGGCTAAAGCTCATGGTTTGCGTGTTTTCCCCACCACAAAAGGAGCATCACAGGAGCATCACCAGCTTTTGTCCTTGCATGTCGGTTAAGGCCTAAGCCCTTTGCGATCCGATTCCTTCAGGGGAAATCACGTATACGCGTAGCGCTGAACGAGCCCGGAGGCTCAACAACTCGATGTCCGGAGTCTTTGTGAATCCATACAGTCCACTCGATGTCCATCCACTGCAATGTCCACCTGGAGCCCCGAAACGCCACTTTTTTTTTTCTCTTTTTTTTCCCGGTCGAAAGGCATATTTGGCCTGTTTCGGTCATTTGCCTTAGTTGCCTGTATTTGGCCGTATAAAACCCGTATTGTGTCGAGAAAATATTGAAAAAGAAGCGAAGGAAATCGTATTTGGCCGTATGACCATTTTTTTTCGGGGCAAAGCCTTGTGACCAAAAAAAAGAAGTGTTTTGGGGCCCCAGGCATGAGTAAGAACGTTCTGGATGAATACAAGGCAATTACCCTTCACTGAGGACATCATCCACAAGGGTCCCCAGATTTGTCTTCGCATGACCCCACCAAGCGTACAACGTCTCCCTAGGGTTTAACCTCCGTTGAGGAAAAGGATTGACCCAATTCAAAAAATGATACACCTACAATTGTGGTTGTATCAATCCCCCCCATAGTTTTCATGGTGGCTTGCCTGAACCGTGATCTGTTTGAATCCCAAAATCGCGATGCGAAACCACCGAAAGGGGAAACATGGATTCATCTCCATAATCCCCCCCGAAACACAAAAGGGTCGGTCTCGAAATTCGTGTGTGTGGTTGATTTTCTTCTGGTTCCCCTTGAAAGCCAAGGCGTACCGGCGTACCTCCAGTCCCCGAAAGAGGGCTGGACAGCTGATTCAGCTATCGATAGGCAGGCTCCGGACTCCGGACGGGTTCCAAATCCGAGGGTTGCTGCTTGGGTGTTTGATTCACCAAGTTAGTAAATTGTGATCGTAGCCTAAGTCATAACGCTTCTTGAAGTGAAGAGGTAGCATGGCCAGCTGTTCAGAGCGCTTCCTGGCCTGAAAGCAGTGACAGATTCCTTCTACAACCAAAAGTGGATATATATATATATATATAGAACACTGCCTTGAGGTAGTGATAGATTCCTTCTACACGCAGATGGACGCACATCACCCCACGACTCGATCCGCCCAAGCCCGCCCAAACTCGCGCACCACAGCGCGCCCAGGGAAGCCACCAGCCCGCCGAGGTCCATGAGTAAAGAAAGCCTCGGAGGCGACCGGGCGCTGTGAGTCATGTGAGTCATGTAGGGGCCGCAAAGGAGCAAAACCCGGTACATCATGCAGGGCGACGCAACGCAAAACGCACCCTTGGAAGAAACCCAGCAAAAATGATGGGGGGCGAAACACAAATGCTCAGTTTTTCGGCTTGGTCTCTCTTTGAAGCCACCCAGCCAAAACGGTACCCTTGAAAAGATTCACCCGTGCCCCTACTTTCGTCTCAATAATGTGTTCATGGTTGTCTGTTACTTACCTTCCGTCGAAGGGCATGTATAGACGAGTTCAAAAGGAATTAGTCAAAAGACACACTGAATGATAGGTTATCATAGCACGGCAAGTAAGAATGCCTCTCCACTAACATCGAACCTGACGTTGAGTCCTGGTTGGGAGTTGGGACGTGTTTTCCTAAAATGGGGCTCTCTGGGGGGTTCCATGGCAACGTGGACAGAAGGGTATCCGAACTTCAACTGAGTCACAATGAAAACCTGGTACAAAAATGGTGAACCCAGAACCATGTAAAGAATTAGAAAGGCGGCCGCAACTATTTCCGGCTGGGACTGCCCCTTACTAACCTTCATCTACCCGGGTTTTGATGGTGGCTGAACTGAGACATCGTAACCGGCCGGCTATCGGTAGACCGCCCCTTGAACTCCTGCGGTGTAAAGGGAAAACCCGCCTATGGTGGGGACAATCCCTTGCTAACCTCGCTTGCTTTCTCCTCCCCTGCTAAAAGTGACTAACTTGTCGTGGTTTAATGGAAAACCCATTAGTTGGCAAACAGCTAAAGTCCTAACATCCCAGCAAATTGCACCAAAGTAACTGGCCTTCTATTGAAGTAGTGATACTAGGTCCTCCAGTAGAAAGGATAGAATAAGGGTGCCAACATTTTTCTGTGGTCTATTTTAGTCGTGGGAAACCCTCCCCAAAAAAAGAAGCGGCAAAAGAGAGGGCACCAATTGCTGGGGGAGGTTAGTCTTACTAACCTTCATCTACCCGAATCGGTTTTGATGGTGGCCTACTTGGGGCTTGCTCAGTAGATGACATAGGGATTTGGGAATGGACCTGGAAAATTCCCTCAAAGGAAACCACAGGTTTATATGGGGTCATTCCTGCATGCCCCTATCGCACCAGCAAGCTTTTTTGTGGGTGCCCAAAACAGGAGTCACCCACCCGCACCCAAGTACCTCAAGGATGTCAAGCCGGGCTGTGGGAATTGACCACTTCTGTGATACATGGCTTCCCAAAGACTATTTTGTTCATAACGGGGGTTCCCTTGTATCACGTGGGGAGAAACCCCGAGTGATCTCACAACCCTGATGTAAAGGGGGTTCAAATGGGCGAACGTTCCCTAGCCCGAGAGGGCCGAGATGCGGAGGTCCATTTACCTGTATGGTAGGCACCCAAGGCTCCAAGGGATCCACCTTTCAAAACAATAGCTGGTTACCTACTATATGAGACTACCTGGAGTCTCTCTGACCCCTGGAAAAAGGGGTCATGACCTCATAATTTTGGGTAATGGCCAACCATTTTTTAAGGGTCAGAAAGAGACTCTAGGTAAATGGGTAACTGAAAAAGAAAACCGAAGTCAAATAAAACCAAGAAAGCCTGGGTTGATACCCCTACCTTTCGTATCAACCTACCCACTTCCCTTGGCGCTTGACTTGGGTATGGGTCAAAACTAAACCACCAGGGGACCGCAGGCAATTGATGACCCACAGCCACTTGTGCCCCGGGCTTATTCATGTCCGTTTCCGGCGGAGGCATCTCACGGCACTCGAAGTGCAAGTTCCGGCCCCGCAGCTCCTGCAAAGCTGAAGCGCCCCTTGGGCGCAGTGACTCTTCTAGGGGTGCCTTCCATTTCCATTCTTTCCAGGGATCCGAACCCAGGTTGGAAACCCCTAGAACTCTGGTACCAACACCTCACTTCCGATCGAGTGGATGGACCAAACAAGGAAACCAAACGTGTTGTTTACCACTACAATGCAGCAGGGACTTTGGGACTGACTATTCGTGTGTGTGGGTGTGTGTCTTTCGGGTACTCTATCGGTTCTCTATTCTGACACAAACTTGCATGGATACAATGGCTTGTATAAGCTTTACCACAGCCCCAATCAAACAATGCAGTAGCACCACCGCCTAAAATGGCCAATGGTGAGTTTGGGTGCTCATTTGCTCGGAGCGCGTGTCAAGAAGAAGAAGAATCCCTTGCGGGTCCAGTTGATGAGAACAGGGAATTCATCAAACCGTCCTACTTGTAGGGAGTGTCATCCACGACACTGAAGAATTCCGACTAAAGGGAAGACTCCCCGAGTCTTACACCGGAGGATTTTGTTCCAAGGTTCCCATTATCTGTATGGCAGGTAACTCAGGGGAATCACCGTGCCAATCCAAAAAAACGATCGGCTGGTTACAAGGAAACTGGAACCCACTGGGAGCACTCCTGCCACCACCTCCCCGTGCCTTGGTGAAAAACCGCCACTCATTTGGGTGTGAATCTTAATGGGCCCCAGACACTTTGGCGGATAAAATTTGGCGGGGAGCCATGTCCACCAACCAAATGCCAGGTGATTTCCCATGCACATCTCAATGCTATAGCCATTCAAGTTTGAGACCCGCCCCATGTGAGTCACAATCAAAACCCAGTATGAAATTGGAAAAGGCGAAGCGCACCGATTTTTGTGGCTGGGATTTTCCCTCACTACCCTCCAATTACACGGGTTTTGATTGTGACTCACATGGAAAAAAAAAAAACACGTGCCGCCGCTCTTTTTTTGAACATCATTTGGGCGCCAAGGCGGCATACCCGGCCTGGCGCAAACGTTGTTGTAGCCACTGACCCAAGACGCGTGCGACAGGGAATAGCTTCCCTTGGCTTCCTCTTTTGGTTTCCCTTGCTTGTCACTGGCTATTTTGCTTTGATTTGTCTTTGTCCTTTGCCGAAGAGCCGAATTAAAGGGAACAGGCTTAAACAAACTGAAGAGCGTCGACCGGTGGCCACGGTGTTTTGAACTGGGCGGCTCGGAAGCTTCTTTGAGGTGATTTCACCGAGAAACCAAAAGGAACACCCACAGGCGCCACTTTGAGGGGTCCGATTCCTACAAAACCAGCCGTCCTACGCGCCCGGAGGAACAAAAGGTCTTTCCAACAAACCTCAGGACCCACCCCAACCAACAGACCAGACCTTCCTCACACCACCTCAGGCACCACTGGGGGTCTGTTAGTCTGGGTCCTGAGATACTCCAACCCCCCCCCCCGATGGAGAAGATGAAAACGGCTGCGAGAGAAAGGTAACTTGTTTCCGTAGTCGATTTTAGTAGGGGAGCCCCCCCAAAAAGGATAAAAGGGCACTACTGGGAGACCTAGGCGCTATAAGTTGGAACAACCAAGGACATTTGCCTGCATCTCGGGCATCGATAATATTATTTGGTCAGACTATGTTTGACATTGACATTGCGTCTCTCCTACAATATAGACGAGTGTTGGAAGAGACCCCAGGCATGGATGAGCCCAAGGTGAGCTGAGATCAAACTCTCAATGAAGAGGTGTCTTGCTTCCAGGGTATGTTTTTGTAGCATGGTCACTAGTTCAACAACCGCGCTTGAACATGACTGCTGAATCGTGTAACGTCTGTCAAGCAATCACCGGTGGCTCAAACGGGGTCCTCTCACTCAGACGATGCTTAGTGACATGCCGCTGCAAAATGAGATCTTCTTTCATGTGCCAAAAAGATGGTGCTTCTTGCAAGGCTCCCAGCTGCCCTCCCTTTAAAAGGGTATTCAACAAGATGGGCCAATCAACGGCTCACCTTGCTTAAAGGGGTATATCACTTGTTTCATTTGTAGAGGGTCACAAAGACTGCAGGTATCTTCAGGTGAAGCGGACACCTCATTCGAGGTCTCTTGACTCTTGGGCGAAGCATCCTCTAGGGTCGCAAGTCCTAAAAGCGCTTCAACCAAGGCCATCTTAAAACCGGCAGTTTTACCAGGTATCAAGGGCAGTATGCTGAGAGGGGCCCCAGAAAAAAAAAAAAAAAAAAAAAAAAAAACGAGCAGGGATAAGGGAAACCAAAAACAAACACGACTGCCCAACTTAGGCACCAGCCTGCAGTTTCATTCGGGAGTATCTATTTTCGGGACCCCTCCAAAATGGCTTCGTTTTCTCTTGGCTTCCCTGTACAACCCCCTCCAAACGCGTACCTTAAAAAAACAAGACAGACCCAAAGTTGGGCGTGCTTCTCAAGATCGGGGCCCTACCTGCAGGTGGTGTGGTGGGTCCGATTCCAATCATTTGATCCAGCCAAAAGCAGCCCCTCACCCAAAGCTTTGGGCTGGGACTTCTGGAGGTGCGCCAAAAAACCGAACCTCCCCCTCCCCCCGCTCAAAGAAGAGCTGAAAGGACCCCCTCCCCCCACCATGTTCCCCCGCCAAAACCCCCCAAAAAACACACACACACACACACACACACACTTGAACTCCAGATGGAGAGTGCTAATCTTTCGAGTACAACTGATGAGTCTCGAGTACAACTGATGAGTCTCGGCTGAGTTCTGCTTGCAAGTCCCTCGGCTTCTCTCTAGAGGCGAAAACGTTACCCGAAAGAACAAGAAGCACAAACAGCGCCGCAACCAAGGGGGCCAAAAGGACAGCAACATCACTTTACACATGCAGGTACGCTGGGATGATCAGTCCCAGTATCACCACCGATGGCAAGTGTCTTCGTTGGCAGGAGACTTGCCATGGTGCTCCTGCCCCCTGCTGCAACGGAAAAAGTTTTGGTGGCAGGGTATTCTGCCACTCCGCACACACACGCCCCTCTATGAGGGGCGAGGTTTCTCTTTTCCTGCAGGAAGATCACATGCTCCAACCCGAATCTCTATCGTTGACCAAAATATCCACCACGGCGAGGGGAGCGAGACACAGCCCTAAACCGCTCAGAAGACGGGAACGAGAGATCACCACGTTGAGCGTTGCGAGTGTCGCCATAGAGGACTGAAGCGATTTGCGAAGCAGCCTGGCGATCACCATGAGAAAACGGGGTGGCGTAGGTGAACGTCTCCTCAACTGGAACGGCATCGGAGTTTCGAACTTGACCAAGAGATTGATCATGCGGATAATGAGTTGCGAAGGATTCCATCCGAGACAGAATGCGCTGGTATCCTTGATGCTGCCAGTCACGGATGTCCCACGCCTGGACAGGCTCATTGGGATCAGTCACCCGCTGCCATTCCCGAAAAGAATTTTCAGGTAGATCAGGTACGGCGTCACCGCGGTGCCATCGTTGAGGCTGTCCTGGAGTGTATATCCGCACCCACTCCTGTTCCTGCCAGACCGAATATTCGAGCCATGGGTACTGCTTCGAATCATCGATGTCCATGTCGAAGTGAGAGGCAAGGATTGTCGCGGGCTCCGATCCAGCTGATAGAGGAACAGGCACCATGCACAACCATGTTCAAACAACAACCAAGCAAGATCATGCAAGTGTGGAGACCACCCTTATTTTGTACGCTGCGCCACTCATGCGAGTCTAGTCCTCAGACAGCTCGAAGATGGGACTCGCCTTGTCCCTGCCGCTGTCGGAAGGGTTCACGGGCCGGTAGGGCTCGGAGACCCCAACCGTCTCCGATGGTGTGTTTCCACGCGATGCACGTACTGGTTGATGAGGTTGGGAAGCGTGACGTGTGCGAGCTGTCAGTTGTTGAGAAATCCCCTCCTGGAGACGAGTCAGTTCTTCGGTAGAGAAATCAGCCGCATCCGAGGACCTGAGAATCGCGTCTAACAGCTCCGATGACATACTCAATGCCGCAGACTGCGTGGCCACGCTGTGATGATCAGGAAAATACATGGAATCAAATTCATGACCAGCGTGAGGGCAGCGACTCTCCGATAGCCCTCTGTGGCCCAGTCTCGTTTGTACCACGTGGTGACTTGGACCTGCCCACCGACTGAGTCCTGGTTGGGAGCATAGAACTCCCTCCATTCTCTAAAAGTATGCGGAGGAGGTGGAGCATCATGTTCTTCATGTGGTGTCCATGATCCCGGATGAAAGATCTTGACCCACTGGGCATCTGGTTGTTGAGGGTCCGGACACCACTCCAGCCACGCCATGACAACGCAACCACGGAAAGACAAATTGATAGGTGTACGGCTGCAGACAACAATGAGTGAAAGCGAAACAACTATCACAATGCAAAAGACCACTTTTGCAGCACTGCACGGCTCCAGCATCGAAGACAATCTCCCGAATCGAATTGAACTGAACAGACTCCCCAGGAAGGCGAGGACGATCATCAGCCATCATGGGAATTGGATGATGCCGAGGAAGAGGTCAGTCCCGCATACATGAGGTCCGGTGCGCCCGAAGCGAAAACTGGCCTCGCGATGCTGGGGCGTGGACCACCCAGACGTTGGTATCCTTTGGTGACCCAGTCCCTGTAATACCAAGTATAGAAGGTTGCATAGGACACCGGTTGCGAAACAGCGCCTGTGTTGGTGCCGCCCGTACTTTCCCTAGGCCAATACACTTCGAAGTGGTGGACCTTGCGCCATTCCCGATAGGTGGTTGAGTCATCCGGGGCCGGTCCCAGGGTGTTCGCGGCGACTGGATGCCACGGACCCGGTACATAGATCCGAATCCATTCCACACTCGTATTTGCTGGCCCATTGACGATGTCGTAGTCAAAGTAGCGAGGCAGGACCCATCGTGCTGCACCATACACTGTACAATTGAACATTTCAACCCGGCAAGCCGCTCAAAGTCAGAAAGGAAAGCGGCGAACAAATAGAGACGGAACGTACACCACCAAGCAAGACAACCCAACATGGACTCTCATACAAAGCAAGCACAATCGCATCATTTATCCGACATGCTACTCAAGTGTCACTCCGAATCATTCCAAGGATCATGGAATGGTGGCGGCGACGGTTCCCGCCACGCCCCATCCGGTACCGATGAGCCCCCCGAGGAATTGGCGTCTGCATTCACGAGCATCGCGAATCCAATGGATTGTACAGGAGCTCCAAGTCGTTGATACCCTCGTGTTTGCCAGTCTCGGTACTCCCACACATGGTAAGACACATAGGAACTGGGCGTGACTATGGGATCCGTTGTTGTGCCTCCGGTGCTGTCTTCGGACCAGTACACTTGGAAGTGATATGATCTGCGCCACTCCCGATACGTGGAAGCGTGGAGTGGGTCAAGAACTGGAGCATCATCGGGAACCGGTCTCCAAATGCCCGGAGAGTAAACTCGAATCCATTCCACTCCTCTATCGATCTGGTACTCGAAATACTGGGGGTTCATAGCGGCAAGACAGGCTCTCACGCGACAGCTAAAAAACAGTCGAAAGTCTGCGGCAAAGACACACATGCATTGCCAACCGCGCACATCAGCTGGAGAGTGAGGCAACTTTTCAATCTCAAGGTGAAACACAGCAACGAGGTCTGTAATGTCCGACTCCTAGGTTTCACTGTCGTTGATGTCGCGCACACCTGCAATGATAGTGTCCTGGTCGTCTACGTGCACAAGGGGAAAGACATTTCCGCCCATGGCGCAGGATGGCATGACAGTAGTGTTTGCAAGTTGCCGATGGGGACAGCGATGGACGGCCAGCACGTTTGGAGGGGAACACTGTAAAGGGCCGTCGAGATCGCCGCGGCGCTGAAGCGGATGCTGTCCGAGATCGTTTGGACGAGCGCCCTGGACTGCGTGGTTCTTCATCACGGGAATGGTCAGTGCTGTAGATCGAGCGGCGTGTGCGCTGCGATTTCGAAGAGGTAGGGCAAGATTGTCCGCGAGGGGCTGAGATCGAG